TCTAGATAGATGACGAGAAGGAGAGCGAGAGCGGAGAATCCCTGCCCCAGCGAGAGGACGCCCATAGACGGGACGGCCCCAGAGAAGAACCCCAGCTTTCAGAAGAGAAGGGAGGAACTGGGAAGGAACTGGCAGGGGAGAAACGGGAGCTCAGCAAATAGGGCGACCTCCAGCCCGGGGCCTGCTCCTAACGAACCCCTTCTCGCTGAGATCTGGAAGGAGAAGCTCGGCCTCAAGGGAAGTCTCGAGGCACGAGGTGGGGCGTCTGAAGCAGTTAGGCGCGAAGGATGGACGTCCGGAGGAAGAGTGACTGAGGAGGGTAGATGGTAGAGGAAAGACGAGAAGAAGGGGGAAGAGAGAGAGAGGAAGAGGGAGAGAGAGAGAGAGAGAGGGAGAGAGAGGAGAGAGGGAGAAAGAGAGAAGAGAGAAAGAGGGGGAGGGGTATGAAGCCGGAAGAGAAAAGAGAGGAGAGAGAGAGGGAGAGAGAGGAGGAGAGGAGAGAGAGAGAAAGAGAGAGATAGAGAGAGAAAGAGAGAGAGAGAGAGAGAGAGAGAGAAGAGAGGAGAATGAGAGAGAGAGAGAGAGAGAGAAGAAAGAGAGAGAAGAAAAGAAGAAGAAGAAAAGAAGAGAGGAGAGAGGGAGAAGAGAGAAGAGAAAGAGAGAAGAGAGAGAGTGAGGGGGGGGGGGGGGAGGGAGAGAGAGAGAGAGGGGGGGGAGAGAGAAAGGAATTGAGAGAGAGAGAGAATGAATGAGTTAGTGATGAAATATGCTGAATGCTAAAAAAAATGAATAATCTTTTTCGAACTGCGTTGAATGTTCCGTGTTTAAAAAAGATATTTTGTAATGTGTAAAATTAAATACAAAAAATATACACTATATTCTTGATATACCTCGTAACTTTCCTGATAAGTGATGATTTACAATGCTTATATAATTTTTTTGTAGCACAACATTTATTTGAATAATCATAAAATTTCACAATGACTTTGTGGATCTCATCAGTTGAGGAGAATAGAAAACTCCGGTTTCTAAAAATCTGTCTTTTTTGCCATTTCTTTTATATATTCACAAAGTGATTCTAAGATGGAAATTGTTCACAGAAGAAAGATAATTGTCTATAACCTATAACTTTCAGTCTTAAAAAGGTGAAATTGTTTATTGCTTCATTCTCAGTTTGTTTTCACATGATTTTTGTTAAAAGGATAACAGAAACACAATAACATTGCACAAGAACATTGCACAAACTTATACACAAGATAAAATATCGCATGTTTCCAAAAACATATACAGCTCGTCTTATAAAAATGCAAATCAAAGGACAGCGTAACTGTGTTTGCTGTCGTATCAAACATGGAATGATATAAAATGATTATTTAAAATGACTAAATGGAGAGGGGGCTTCTTTCCATCACACACTCTATAGTATACATGCAAAGTGCTCTTCTTTCTCTCATACACTCTTATTATAACAAAGTTGATCTGTTCTTCATGTTCTTATCACCTGGTCCAGCGTCGTCGAGCTTCGGAGACGTCTAAATCTTGGTCTCGTCTCCCTTCTTGGCGATGTTCTCCAGGACTTTGCCTCGAGTCTCCGGGATGAAGACCACCACGGCGGCCACGATGACGAGGCACACGCCGCCGTACATCCAGAAGGCCCCCTCCTCCCCCAGGGTCGATGCCGTGGCGGGGTAAGAGTGGGAGGCCAAGAACATCCCGCAGAAGAAGATGAAGAAGAGCAAGGAATTGGCAGCGTTTCGGACCGCGGTTGGCAGGAGTTCCCCGCGCACGAGGTTCAGGACGGGGTGCCCCACGCACGTCACGAAGGTAAACACCATCATCGTCAGCACGGGGAACCAGCCGACCTTTTCCATGCTCACGCCGCTCTTCTGCAGGAAGAAGAACATCCCGAGGAGGAAGAGGGACCCGGAGCACAGCAGGAAGGCCGTGACCAGCGCCGGCCGCCGCCCCAGCCGGTCGACGACGGAGAGAGAGAAGACTGTGCCGACGATCCTCACGCCCGCGACCACTATGGCGCTCATGTAGGAGCTGATATTGACCTTGGCGGCGTTGAAGATCGGCACGACGTAGGAGAGGACCACGATGTTCCCCGTGAACTGGACGGAGAACATGAGGAAGGCGAGGAGGCCGAAGACCCTCAGGGTGTGCGGCTCCCTCATCCGCCGGATCTGCTGGAAGATCCTGGCGTCGTCCTTGCCGTCGTCCTTCGTCTGGCTGACGACGGCCTCCTCTCGGAAGTGCAGTCGTAGCGAGCGCCTCGGGAAACGCCAGGCTCGCCCTGCACTCGTCCATGCGCCCTCGGGTGGCCAGCCAGCGGGGCGAGTTCGGCAGCAGGAGAGGAGCCCGACGCCCACAGGGATCGTCGTCACGCCCGCAGATGAGCGCCACCTGCCTCCAGCTGAGGCTGCTGCTCCCCAGGGAATACACCATCAGCACGCCCAGCTGCCGCACCGTGTCCGCCGTGCCCACCAGCTGCCCCCGCACCCGGCTGTGCGCCAGCTCCGTCACGTAGCTGTAGGAGGCGGCCTCGATCACGCCGGCACTCACGCCCAGGAAGAAGCGGGACGTCTGCAGGAGCCACACAGAGGGCGCGAGGGCGTGGGTGAGCCACGCCGCCAGGAACACGGGCAGGTGGACCAGCATGGACCACCGCTGGCCCATCCACGCCATGGGCAGCGTCCACAGCAGGCACCCGACGGCCGAGCCGAGGAACACGAGGCTGCCTGCCGGGGCGGGGGCTTGGTTAGGCCTTGGCATCACTAATTTTAGAGTCATTATCAATGTTTGTGATAATGATGACGTAAAGCTTTACGTCATCATTATCACAAACATTGCTATTAGTATTATCATATTATAATCATAGCCAATATCCTTATCATTATTTTAATCATTACTATTGCTATCAATATCACTATTACTAATACTTATCATTATTAACATTATTATTATCATTATCATAACCATCATCATTATCATCATTACCATTATTATTATCATTATCATCATTATTATCATCAATCCTCCTCCTCCTCCTCCTCATCTTTGTGTGCGCGCGCACGCCTAAGTATGCCATTCTATAATATTTTTTGTCATTCATCCCATTTCATACCAAAACTTAGCGACTGCAAACCCACAAACACATAAAATATTTCAGGCGTAATATAATTATTATCTTCGTTACAGATATCATTGCTAACATCGTCAGTATTATCATCATCATTATTGCTGTCATCATCAAAATCATTTTTATCGGCAATTCTTATCCTCATTATCATTTATGTTACCATCAAAATTATCATTTAGATTATCATTACAGTTATCCTTATTATCAATATGGGCTTCATTATCAAGGTCCTTTTCTGGCCATTATCGTTGCCATTATCATAATTATCTCATATCAGCGTATAATTTGGAAATATTCTCCGATCAACATAATAGACGTACTATGCAATGCAAATGTTGCAATGCAAAAATCGAACAATCAATCAATATTAGGCAAATCTATTATCGCTATTTCATGACGATGTAACGAATCGCATGAATGTGAGATATGACATTCCATTCCCATTTATGTCTGTCTCTCCCTCTATCCCTCCCTTCTTTCCTCCCTCTTTCCCTTCTTTCTTCCTTTCCTCCCTCCCTTCCTTCCTCTCTCCCTACCTCCTTTCTTTCCTCCCTCTTTCCCTTCTTCCTTCCCTCCCTCTTTCCCTTCTTTCCTCCCTCCCTTCCTTCCTCCTTCCCTCCCTCTTTCCCTTCTTTCCTCCCTCCCTTCCTTCCTCTCTCCCTACCTCCTTTCTTTCCTCCCTCTCTCGTTCTCTCTCTCTCTCTTCCCATCTCCTTTTCCAGCTCCCAGACTCGCCTCTGATACCCCTATAGCAGATGTTCCTAGATTACCACTCGTCTCCCTCCCTTCAACCTCCGAGGCGCACCTCCCCCTCCAGCAGAAACAACTAGCACTTGAGGTCATCGCCGAAATGTAAGCCTCCTCTCTCCCTCTCTCTTTCTTTCTTTCTCTCTCTCTCTCGCGCTCCCTCCCTCCCCCCCCCCCTCTCTCTTTCTCTTTCTTTCTTTTCTCTCTCTCTCTCCC